TGTCCCCAAACTGCAGCTGCACCTGTAGCCACAGCCTCTTTCTCGGGCAGGACTTGCACAACTGTCTGCACAGCTATGAGTGTCCTGATTCATGTCATTATGCTGTTACCTCTGCTCACAGGACACATATCAACACTTTCATCACTTGGGTTGGACCCTTTTTCTCCTAAAAAATTCATTTCCAAGGAAAAAGGTTCTTTTATGGAATCACTGGAGGTTCTGAAAAGAATGTCAGGATCCAAGTACTTTTAAAACAGATTCCCTGGCACAGTATATAATTTGCATATAATTTATTGTATTAAAAAAAGCTTGTTAAAATATGGTTGTTCACAAGTAGAAAAGAAATGGTTCAGTTTTCCAGTTGATTGCACATTGTTCCATTTTCTAGGAAAAAAAGTGAGTGCATGTGGGATATACACGAAATAATCTGTTGTAGACATGTACTAAGTCTTCTCACCACCAAACCCAAAGTTTAAAAATGAATGTGGAGCAATTACAATGCAAATATAATTGCATCTCACTGTCTTTTATGTGACTATGAAAAGAAATATGACTAGAAAGTAGTGGGAACTTGAGATCAAGAGGAAGACAACTGGGCAACTCCAGTGACACTGGGAGCAGGACCAGCTTCCTGTGCATGTGACCTGTATAGTTCCACAGGGTCTGGCCCTCAGAAAGGGCCTGGAGCTTGATTTAACATTCTGCTATCTCTGTCTTAAAATTCATAAAAATTGTGTCTTTAAACTTGTGTTTTGGAAGTGAAGTCTTATAAGAGGCTGGAGCATGTCCATGAGCAGAGGAGATACACAGAGTTTGGGAAGGAGCACATACAAGTTCAGGCTCAAGGTCACAGTGCAAGCCCATGATCTGGCAGATGTTTGACCCATTTTAAATGTAGGTGCATTCTCTTTGGTGCTCTGTGTTACCTCCAAATGTTTGGAAATCACTGTTGCTAGTAAAGTTTTACAAAATTAAAGCTATATGTGAACATTGCAATAAAGCATTTTGGAGAGTTGTTAGAATCTTTTGAAAAGTTCAGAAGCTTTCTAGCCAGGTGCGGTGGTGCACGACTCTAACACATGCAGCTCTGGAGGCTGAGACAGGAGGATCGTGAGTTCACTAAGCAACTTGGTGAGACCCTGTCTCTAAATTAAAAAAAAAAATGCACACACGCAGCGCGCGAGTGCGCACATACCCACACACACACCCCAAAATAGGGCTGGGGATGTGGCTCACTGATTGAGTGCCCCTGAGCTCCTTGATTGAGTGCCCCTGAGTTTAATCTCTGATACTAACCACCCCTCAAAAAGTTCAGAAGCTTTCTAACTATTCAATTGCAGAACGAATATTTAGGACTCAGAAATAGGAATTAAATATGAAGATACTAGCCTGATGGAGAAGAGCACTATTTTCAAATGAATCAATTATTAACATTCAGTGACAGAATGCTTAAGCATTCTGAATTATATACAAATCATGAAGCCACATTCCATTCATCAGACCTCCACAAATTACAGAAAATATCAGAAGAAACATTAAAATGCTGATGTATAAATTTACATTTAAAATTAAATTCAGACTCATATGAAACTGACTTGTATGAGAAGTTAAATCAACAAAATGTGTTCCACAAGAAACATCATCCATAGATTTACTAAAATTTATATTTCAATCTAATTTATCAGATATTTTTGCTAAAAATGTTATAGCATATAAAATACCTCTAAAAGCCCCTGTATTTCTATTGCATCACTTCTCCATATTGGGAAATTATCAGAAATTCAGTTTGCAATCTTGCATTTACCAGGAGCACCTGACATTACTTGAAATTATAGTGCTTGATAATGAAGTTGCTAAAAGATTAAATTTTGAAAATCTAGTAAGTTAAATTAACTAAGTGCAAGCCAGAAAAATCGAATGACTAAGCAAGATGTCATATTCCCAAGTAATTTAGTTATTTTTATATAAACTTATGACATCATTTTATTAAGCTTATGTTGTTACTTCTGTATCACTGTAAATTCTATTTTCTTTTATAATATCATATTTTATAAGGAAAGCTCTGCATTATATCACTTAATGACACTTTTTCTTGATTTGAAAAAGATATCCCAAATGTTCATTTTGTGTCCCTCGAATGTTATAGACAGCTCTGGTTGGGAATCTTGAACCCTGAACCACCACTTGAAAGGAGGGTGGTTGAAGCCAGAAAGCAGTCAGGGTTTTTGAGAAAGTGTCTTTTGCTTTACGCATTAGTTACTCACTCATCTCTTCCTGGCTCCCCAATTTGCTCAAGTGTTTATGTGTGTTTCCTTCAAGAGTGATATGATACACTGCAGATATAAATATAAGAAATAGATCACAAAAGAGCAGCCTGTTTATCCATGGGTCATTGATGGAATCACCCCCATATCACTGCCTGTGATGATTTTTGTACTCAGGATCCCATCTTATTCCATTTTACCGTGGATGTAGTCTCTCCTTCATCCATCAGCCAGCAGTTATGTTATAGGAAGAATGAAAACCCAGAGAGGAATTCATCTCTGCTTTGGAAGAAGCCCAAGGACTGGTTAGGGTAACCTCAGACACAGAAAGTCTTATGTGAACATGAAAATAAACTTGGAGTTCCATAGTGCAGGAAAATTTATCTCCACTCTCGTAGAATTCCATGTTTCACATGACCAGTCCTTCAGAAACATTTTCAATGCCATATTGTGCAAAGGAATTTCATAGCTAGAAGAATTCTTAGAAGTCCTTTAGTCCAATCATAAGTTACAAAGTAAGAAACTATATGCAATGTGACAGTATGATATGATCATCTAGCATATGAATAGGAATAGAAGGAAACTGTATTTCCTCATTTGCTCCTTTGTACATTCTGTCTGCAGCCTCATTCCTGTAGGACCATGTTGCTGAACAGAGAGAAACTGCCTCGGAAATTCAGTTACTTGGAGCTCTGCAGTGTGTCTAGGAAAACCTTGGTCTAATCAGTTTGACAACCAGAATAGAGAGCTGTAATTTGTGAAAATGTTTGGTACTTTGTGTAGGAAAATAGTCTCAGGTTAAGCCACAGTTATTCTGCCAATAAATCATTTCACCATTCACTGGCTGCTGTTGGAGTGAGACAAGTAACAGGCCATCCTCAACACCCAGATCATCTCTAAAGCCTTTCCTAGAACTGGCAATGTACAGTAGTTATCCCAGGTGGCCATTCCTTAAGGGAGGGGTACCAACATCACCAGCACCACTCCACCATTGTCAGTAAAAATGATCAGTGAAATTGAGATACTAAGGGGAACAATTTCCTCGCACAATTGGGTGTCTGTGCAGGTGTTTGAAAAATCTTTTTTTTTTTTTTTGAATGCCACAACTCAGAAGGGCAAACCATACCTAAAGTATCTGTATTAGAGAAAGAAGTTCACCCAGTGAAGAAGTTGAGAATGTGGAAATTGAACGATAGAAAAGAAGAACCTTAGAATGGAAAAATTTCATATATGTGAAAACATATATTTTATATGTACAAACATGAAATTCTTATATAGAGTTGAGGGATATCCTTACAGCTGTCCTCAAATATTTACATGTATATGATGTGACTGAGGGATTAGATTTATTCTGTATACTTCTGGGTACTAGTAAGTACCTATCACAGGGAAGGTGCCGTCACTTCTGGAAATGAGGTTGCATTTGTTTGGCAGAATGCACTTTTCATGGTTAGTCTTTTGGGTCAGTTTCCTTATTTATACAATCCCTATAGCAGGCATAGGCAATATTTAGGCTTCACTGGATTTATTCTTACAGAAGCAATCAGAAAATATCAATAAATTAAAGTAGGTGAAAAGGATTTTGGGCAGAGGGAGAGAATCCTTGAACTTTAGAGGACTGAAAGACTGGATGTTTTGTGGGAAAGACCATTGTAGCAGAACTTGAGAGAAAGCTCAGTGGTCAATATAAGAATTCATGCCTCAAGGATTGGCTCATATTTTGGAGAACCACAGAAAATAAAAACACATATATTTAAAATTTTGAATCTGTAGCCTGTAGATTTTTGAGAATCTCAATTCTTTCTTTCAAGACTTTGCAGAATACAAGCAACACAGCAATAGGAAAAGAGTTCTTAATTCATGTCAAATTTGTCATTATAAATTAACCCACTCTGTCAAAATTCTTTCTAAACTTGGAGCACTAATAACTCAAGAAATTATTCCCCTGTTCTCTAATCATTGAGATTCTATCTTTACCTTTTTTTTTTTTTTTTAATCAGAACTATCCTTGGTGAAGGAAGAAACCATAATTGAATTATTGGTACAGTCCACTATCTGGTATTGGCAAGTTATGGGCAAGGCCAGGCTAGGAGGAACAGAGTTTGAGATAACACATGCATTCTAAATATCCAGTGGTTCTCTCTTACTATAATCTTATTTGTGTGTGTGTGTGTGTGTGTGTGTGTGTGCGCACGCTGAAGATAGAACCCACGGCCTTGTGCATGCAAGGCAAGCACTCTACCAACTGAGCTATATCCCAACCCACTTACTATGATCTTTGACTTACATGTTCCTTTTAGGAAGAGTTTTTCCTCTGTGACAGGCTAATCTTGAAGGTAGATTAGTCTGAAAATGGAGATATTTTTAAATATTTGTTTATGAGAGTGAAGCATAATGCTACCTTGAATCCAAACATGTTACCTCAATTTATTTTTGAAAAATCACCAACAGCATCTACCTCTTTCCGATTTATTAATAATGACTCAGTAGTGTGCACACATGTCAGCCTTGATCTCTACATACTCACTGTGCATTTAATCTCTGATCTGAAACCTATTTTATTAGACCTGTTGCTGCTTTTATGTTTCTGAGTCCCTCATGGGAAAGAGACCATTTAACCAGAGTTCAGTAGTTAGAGATGTGAACACAAGGTGGCAGTCTACCCCAGCTGATGCAAAATAGTTGGAGCATACCTTGCAGTGCATTCTGAATGAAGAGGCTTAGAGCAGAAGCAGATCCTTTTTCTTATTGGCAGGGTGGAGAAGAGGAAAATAATTGTTAGAGGAAAAAAGGGGCAACCTGATTGTAGAAGTGGGTCTTCTGGCTGGAGATCTCAAGTATATTATTGATTCTAACGGGAAGAACAATGAAGAAATGGATTCATCCATTACTCATATTCTTGTGGCTGCAGCTGTACTGTAAGTTGAGGGTTTTATAGAGACAGAATTAATTAGTGGATGTTCTTTAAATGTACATGGAGTAGACTAAATTAGAATGGATGAGAACATTTTGGTGGTTGATTGTTGCTTAATAGATTTCCCCACTATTTTATTTTTTACTGATAGTTAAGATATAGCATATGATGTTTTGATATTCAATATACATAGTGATAATACAAGGTGGTTGAAGAAATGCTCAGGGAAAAGTCTGTGTATATTAGGGAATGTTCTTTAAATGTCCAAGGAGAAGCCCTGTTATGTTCAATTCTCCTCTAGTTGCTGTAGAAAACTGAAAATTGTGAAGAGTAATCACATGCTAACACCATCTTTTTTTCTTTTTCTTTCCCAGGGGTAAGCAGAGGAGAGAAGGTGGAGCAGCGTCCTTCTACCCTGAGTGTCCAGGAGGGAGACAGAGCTGTTATCAACTGTACTTATTCAGATAGTGGTTCAGAGTACTTCCCTTGGTATAAGCAAGAAGCTGGAAAAGGTCCCCAGCATATTATAGACATTCGTTCAAATAAGGACATAAATCAAATCCAAAGATTCATTGTTGTGTTGGCTAAGAAAGCCAAACACTTCTCCCTGAACATCACAGCCACCCAGCCTGGAGACTCAGCTGTCTACTTCTGTGCAGCCAGTACACGATGCTTCCCAGACACCTGCAGCCTGTACTCAAACCTGCCACTGGGCTAAGCCCCACCTTCTTCTTTTTTCACAGACTTTTCAGGATAACATTTGCCAAATTGTTAGCAAGTGGAATCTAGCACTTCAACATTAAAAGCATGTAATAAGAAGTTTAAGTTCAAGATGACATGAAATGGGTCAGAACATTTGGGTAGCTGATTGTGGCTTAATAGATGATTTTTGACTTTTCTTTCTTTTTTATTTTTGTGGTGCTGGGGATCAAACCTGGGACCTTGCACACACTAGGCAAGCCCTCTGCCATTGAGCTACATCCCTAGCACTCAAACCTTATTTTTTATTATAAATAGTTAATGATGTAGAATGTGATGTTTTGATATACATATACATAGAGAAATTGAATGGCCAGATGAAAAGGCACATAGGGTGGTGGTGGGAGGCAGGATGAAGCTTCATGCCCTCTCTGGGAACCCCAGAATTTGGGAATCTTCACATGTTCAGAAATCTAATGCTGCACTTACTGGACTCTTGATGGGAATCGGTTAGTAATGCTTTCTCTTGAAATCCTCAGACTGTACAGAGGAGTTTACAATTGTTTTTCAGATTTCTCCTTTCAAACAACTCAAGTATCATTTTCAAGCAGGGGCTTTTTACTCTTCAGAAAATTTCATTTGTTATTTTTTCTGATTATAAATATTAGATACCAAATGCAGAAAACATGTAAAATACAAAAGTATAAAGTGGTTATTCACTACCCAATCTGTTGCTAATTGGTGAATGGATACAAAGAAGTAGATATGTAGCATCAACAAAAACAACAAAAATGTCTAGAGATCGCATATATAATATAAGGACTATGGTTAATAAAAGTATAGTGTCAAAATTGTAAACAGGCAATTTTAAGCTATTGTTTTTGTCAAAAGTCCAAAAAAGTAATTTACATAAGATGATAGATATGTTAATTTGTTTCACTATATAATTAGTTTACTGTCTATGTGTATCTTCTAACATCCTGTTATAAACCTCAAATATACACAACAAAATTTCTTCAAAAATAACACTGATTTCCATTTTTCCTTCTTAATGAAACTCCATTGTGTTAAGCTAAATTTATTCTAAGGTACTTAGTTTTGATTACTACCTTATCTTTCTGGTGTATTGAGGAAATTGTCATATGTCTTAATCCTTCACTTAAGTCTCATTGGTGGATTACAGAAGGAATTTGGACTGTAAGGTAATTTAAAGATAGCTTATGCAAATCTCTCTGCCAAATCTTTATGGTTCAACAGAATCAACATTACTATCACCATTTTCTTCTTAAAAACATATCTTTTAATGTTGTAGATAAATTAATGAAAATGAAGAAGTTGTGCAAACAATCACTCACCTGATTTTCCCTCCTCTGGCCCAGGGGGATCTTATTTGAAGAACTCTCATATTCTTCCTAAGGTGTATATGAATGGTGGTTGGTGTGGTGAGAATTATTCCTCTTGTCTGAATTATTATGTTAGTTATCAGCTAATTGGCTGATTATTAGAGTAAATTATGTTTAAAACATCTGAACAGGAATAGTCAATATTGCTCAATATTCAACTGGCTTTTCTTATTCTCCTCAATGTACCACTAGCTTCTGTCCTGGAGAAGCAAGGATTGGTCCTTGCTTGGTCCATTTCCCCCAAATGTGGTATTGCAGTGACAGAGAAGAATGGCTTATATTTTATAGGCTAGTTTCATGGTTATAAGGGATAGGTGTAATTATCATAGGCTCCAGTGCTATTTCTTAGTACGGAGACCATTTTTTTCAAAAAGGAAGAAAACTCTCCAGCCAGAGTATGCAGGGTCATAACCCAGTTATCTCCATCCAGACACATTTAAGCCTTTGGCCCTCACTCCAAATTTTGGCACTCACAAAAAGGTATAGGTTTTTCATTTTGCCTCAGTAACAAACCTGACTGCATAAAACAATGAAAATTATTTTTTCTCCCATAGTCTGGAGTCCTGAAGTTGAAATCAGTTTCTCTGGGCCGGAATCATGGTATCAGCAGGGCTGCACCCACCTAGAGACTATAGAGAGAATCTGCCCCTGGCCACTCCCAACTCTGATGGCTGCCAGCATTTCTGAGCAACTGGCTGCCTCCTCAAGTCTTTGCCTCCACAGTCTCCCTGGCATCTCTCTCCTGTTGTCCTTCTTTCAAGTGCACATGAGATGTGCACTTGAAAGTTTAAGGTTCATGTAATGCAAGATACTCTTCCCATGTCAGGATCTTTAACTTAAAGATCCTGACATGGGAAGAGTAAAAGATAACAGGGATCCAGGGGGCAGGACCTGAGTTTTTTTGGTTGCTGTTATTTCACACTGCTCCTCCCCACCACAGTTGGTATGACTGGGGCTTTTCTTCTTTGTTGAGAAAATAATAAATGTATTAGGCAGAGTCTAATCAGAAGAGCAGACACCACATGCATTGTTTTTTAAATTTTCTTAGCTTTTTAAATTTTATATAAAAATTATTATATAAAAATTAATACTTTTGGTTGTACAGATCTATCTTTGAGTTTTGAATTCTAGTACATTATATAGGTTTATGTAATGATTACATAATCATGATACAGAACATTTCATCACATCAAAAACTCTCCTGTGCTCATATTGGAATTGCACCTGGCCATTTCTAAGTCCTTTTAAACTTTAGTCTTTTTTTTCCCTATATTTATCTCTTTGGAAATATCATGTGAAGGAAAACACACAACATATAAGCATTTGAGAAGTCATAACTTGCCTAGAGAAATCACATGCCATTGGGCACATGTGACCTCCATCTGCTCCCACCTTCAAGTGGACTGAATGTTTTAAAATTTTATGTCATTATTGTTAAAACATCCATCATTTTAAATGTTAAGATTTCCTTGAAGATTTGATTTCTAGTTCAGGATTTGATTTCTGTACAACATTTTGGCAATGGAGAGGTTCTTTTGAAGGTAATACCAAATCCTATAATCAGGTTGTCATGCTGCAAATGTAAACTTAACTGTACCAACTCTATCTTAAGTTTTTCTCAGTGGATATTTTTCTACCAATTAAAATCAAATTTTGTTTATCAAAATTCATTTTATCTATCCTAACTGAGGATATTTTGTCAATGAGGACAATTGATATTACATAGCTATTTGTAGCATTATAATATTATAATATCCATGATATTATATGGATATTTGTGACATTGAATGACACATCCAACAATTCTTTATGCTTGTTGCATGAGTGATGGATTTGAAGAGCTGAATAATAGCATTAGTATGGTTATTGCCTCAAGTTAAGCCTACTCCTCAGCTCGTTTATTACACTAATAGAAGAAAAAAGTAGGATAAATTAGAAATATTTTATCAATTTTATAAATATTTTAACTTATACTCTATTATTAGTGAGAAAGTTCTGCTAAAATGATAAAAACAAAAGACTGTGAAAGAGAATATGACCTCCAATAGTCAGAGACATGCTGGTGTATTTTATGCAAGGACACGTTTGCTTTATTGATCCTTGGTCAGTGCTCATCTTCTGTGGACAATGAGCTCCTGGAGACTCTCAAGAGAAACAGTTAAGATAGTTAATGTGAATAACAAAGATCCTGTAATTTTACTATGGATGTCCTAATAGTTGGTAAAATGCAACCAAAGATGAATTCCTTGTACTTTTTTTTTTAAAGAGAGAGAGAGAATTTTAATATTTATTTTTTAGTTTTCGGCGGACACAACATCTTTGTTTTTTTGTTTTGTTTTTTTTTTCTTTCTTTAATTTTTATTGTTGGTTGTTCAAAACATTACATAGTTCTTGACAAATCATATTTCACACTTTGATTCAAGTGGGTTATGAACTCCCATTTTTACCCCGGATACAGATTGCAGCATCACATCGGTTACACATCCACTGTTTTACATATTGCTATACTAGTGTCTGTTGTATTCTGCTGCCTTTCCTATCCTCTACTACCCCCCATCCCATCCCCTCCCATCTTCTCTCTTTACCCCATCTACTGTAATTCATTTCTCCCCCTGACACAACATCTTTGATTGTATGTGGTGCTGAGGATCGAACCTGGGCTGCACACATGCAAGGCGAGCGTGCTACCACTTGAGCCACATCCCAGCCCGAATTCCTTGTACTTTATCTGCTGAACTGGTAGTCAATAGACTCCAATAAAATCAGTTCTATAACATTCAGAGGCAGTATTTCTCTGGTATTGCTTTACGAATACCAGGTCTTCTGGTTTAGGTCATTTAAAGGCTGATTAATATGAAAGGAAGGTAAGACAACCAGTTTGGCATGTTGATGAAAGAATGGAGTACCATGAGTTCATTTATGTAGCTCATTTTGTACAAGAATGGGATATGTATAATTTGGGAATTACATGTACCTGCTGGTGACCAGTTCACAGTCAGAATGACATGCAACTTTGTGAGGAGGAACAATGCAGACCTATGAAAACTAAAGGAAAAATGCATCACCAATGCTGGGTGGGTTAAAACGAGTCTGCTACAACAATTATTTTTAGTTTTAATGTCTCATTTTTTGGTTCCCTATTTTCAGAAGATAGGGAGGTGATAAGAAAAGAGAAATTTCTCAGTAAGGGAAATACCTTACACATCTGTTTCAGAAAAATATCCTCCTTCTATGTGGATAACTGAAGTGAAACAAGAAGGAAAAACAAAGTCACATTGATTTTTAGTCATTGTGAGTGGCTGTTTGATAGGAGAGTGCTTCAATCCATGTCATCAATAAAAATAAGTGCTATTATGATATATGTCATGCAGTGACAGTTGTTGAGACAGTTGTTGAGAAAATAATAAATGTATTCGGCAGAGCCTAATCAGAAGAGCAGACACCACATCCATTGTTTTATTTTATATGCAATTTATAAAATCCTTTGGAAGATATTTAAATGGACAGTATTCCTGTTGAGACCGCATCTTTACACTTTTTATGGGCTTTTGTTGATCACAGGAAAGGCACTCCCTGCTATGCTAGAAAAGTTTTCCTGTAAGGCTTCATTTATTTT